ACCATAGCTGTATTCCTTGGCTCCACTATTAGACCCCATTCACACACGAATCGGCCTGCAAGCACAGCTCCGTGCACGGCCGTACCAAGTAGCTGCCGGGAAGGACAGGTGCTGCGTGTGATTAGTACGCAGACCCCGTCCTTCTCTATGGGGCTACGCAGCCGTACGTCCCCCTACGCTGGCACGCCCTGCATGTGCGTAGGGGTGCGGGTGAGCGTATTCATACGCCGCCGGAATGGATTCTATATATGTCCCGGCCAGAAAACCTGCACCCCTACGGAACTGCAGTTGAGATGAGCGTAGGGGGGGTGTACGGCCGCGTAGCCCCATAAAGGACGGGGGCTGCGTACTAATCACACACAGACCCCGTCCTTCTCTATGGGGCTACGCAGCCGTACGTCCCCCTAAGCTGGCACGCCCTGCATGTCCGTAGGGGTGAGGGTGAGCGTATTCATACGCCGCTGGAATGGATCCTGTATGCGTCCCGGCCAGAAAACTCGCACCCCTACGGAACTGCAGTTGAGATGAGCGTAGGGGGGGTGTACGGCCGCGTAGCCCCATAAAGGACGGGGGCTGCGTACTAATCACACACAGCACCTGTCCTTCCCAGCAGCTGTTTGGTACGGCCCCGTACGCAGCATGGAGCTGTACGTGCCGGTTGATTCTCGTGTGAATGGGGCCAACTGAAGCTCTCTGAACAGAAAAAGAAGCTATGAAAGAGAATCAGTAAAACTGTCAGAAAGGCGTGTAAAACAGACGCAAGTCCTGCAAAGCTGGAAAACGCCTTGTTATTTTGTACATACCATGTTTTCTGTCACATTCAATGTTACTGGAAATATGTTTTTTTATTCATCTGCTGTAATAAAGCTTCACTGGAATTTTACATTCTTGTTTTAATTAGACTTTCTTGAATTTGCCAATTTTTTTTGTGATGAGCAGGTGACAATTATTTTTGTCAAAGGATAACAGCATGGTTATTCAAGAGAGTACTCCTAACTGCTGAAATGAAGTACACATCATGATAAAATAGGGCAAGGAAATAATACATTCACATTTGTGCTGTAGACTTTTAATTTATTTGCAGAAAGTATTAAAAAAAAAAAAAAGGGTCACAGCATTCACAGCTTCAACTGGGCCCTGGTGCACCACCACTGACTCCAAGCTATAGAGAGACTGTTCCCTTGCAGTGTGCTGTGTGACATGTACCTTAGTAGCACACGGAAGTGTAACACTTCACTCATTAGCACAGTACAAAAAGGTACATGTCACTCTGTAGTGGAGTTAAAACCTCTTGTATTGTATTTTTCTTCTAAGATTTAAGCACATAATTAGTTCAGGCAGTCGTATGAAGTGTTTTTTCTAAAAGAAATCATCAGTATTCAGGTCTAAGTGCAGGGTTGGCAATATGAGACCCATAAATTGGTTTAGTGATCCAGTTTGGGCACTTGGGCTCAAAAAGGTTTGCCCTTACTGGTCTATACCAATATCATCTCTGAATTGGTGCTGACACTGTCCTTCCTTCTGGAGGGAGGCTACTTTTGTTCCCCATGGTCCCTGTGTGTGTTGTAATGTAGCCACCTCTCCAAGCTCACTCCCGGGATGGACTACAATCTCAATACAAATTAGTAAACTAAACATGAGATTGTAGTCCATCAAGGGACTGAGCTTGGAGCAGTGGCTACATTACAACACACACAGGGACCATGGGGAACAAAAGTAACCACCCTCCAGAAGGAAGGACAGTGTCAGCACCAATTCAGAGATGATTTGAGTATCTACAGCCGAGTGATACACAAATAAGATACATTTTTGTTAATAGTTAAAGTGACATTAAACCCTCAGATGTTTTAACATAAACCAATACTGTAATGTGTGCCTTACTGTAATCCATGGTAGTTTACCTTCTCTTTGCTGCTCTTCCTTTTAAATCCGTATCTCTTCTCATGCTGGGGGAGAACTTCCCTTTGCAGCTGACTGCCTCTTCCTGTAGTGCTGGTTCAGGTTACAAACCTACACACAGACACTATGCATCCATTTCAGAGACAAGGCAGTCTGCTGCAAAACAGAAGTTCTGCCCAGCATGAGAACAGATACAGATTTAAAAGAGCAGCAAAGAGAAGGGAAACTACCATGGATTACAGTAAGGCACACATTACACTATTGTTTTATGTTAAAAAATCTAAGGGTTTAATGTCACTTTACGGTCCTTAAATGCATTTTGAAATGTAACTCCTGAGTTTTGGGTTACTTCAAAAGTAACTGTTTGGGGAGACATTAAATTAATGGGTAAAGTTAGTGATAGGGGTTAAGTTAGAGGACAACACAAGTGACACTCAAAACCCATCTCCAGGATTATTCTAACCCCCCTCTACCTGATTTGTTTATTGTAACTCCAACAACCTGGCTTTTCAGCAGCAGGGTCCTCATTGGATCCAGAAGCTGAGACATTATCACAAGGGGACAACTCAGTGAGGAATCATCTACAGCACTGCAATAGTGGTATCCCGAACCAGAAATCAGGACAGATGAGGGACCTGGAGGGGGGACTTAGTGGAATACAACTTTCATGACAGGGAAAAATAAGAACCCCGTGTGAGGAGTTATGTGGAGGGTTCCCAGAGGACTTATTTTGCCCAGAGTGGGGGCTTCAATGTTTTGTTCAATAATTTAGTTGAAGGTTTATTACTGATGTTTTTTTATGTGAATGTTGTTTTTGCCAGCAGTACCTTCACCTAGATGTACCGAGCCTCAATGACTGCATCAAAGATAATGTGCCGCTCCTGAACAGCACACAATGACCATGTTCCCCTAATAACTGCTGGCTGTATTACAACTTATTTTGAAGATTATTCTTCTTTATCCTTGCTTACTTCCACTTGACATACAGGTCATGTCACTGTACTCATACACCCTCATAATACACATAAATCATTGAGCCATGCTACATATCCCAGTGTCAGTGAAGGGAACTGGCCTAGGTCACAATGCTCCCATCTATTGCTCTGCTGCGTTTCTGGTGATGATCTTCTAGCAAGTTTTATAACTGTTGTAAATACTTTCTTAAAGTAAACCTAGACTTTTATACAACTATTACAGGTCTACTTTAAAATGAAAACTACCCGGCAATGAAGGCTTTGTATACTTGGCTGTCCCATTGGCCTTTTTTGAGTTCTCATTCTCCCTCAAGGCCCACACAGGGTGCAAGAGCTCAGCGATACAGCATGCAGGCGCTGACGAATGAACACTATTCTATAGCAGCCTCCATATTGCTTCCAGTCCACGTGTCCTTACAATACCTGTATTTAGTCACAGTCACTGTTCATGCACAGCCCAACTTTAAAGGGTATCTATGGTCAAAAACTCAAAATAAATATGTATTTCTATATTGAAGTTCTAGCCCACCCCTGATAACCATATCGATCTAGAAGTTTGTAAACTTACTTATTGAAGATGCCCATAGGGTGGACTTCCTCAATGCACTAACACAATTTCACTCAGCTCTCTGAAAGTGCACTTCCTTGAGTCACAACACTCAGAGCCTGCTGTCTGAACTACAATTTAAAGTCGGAGCTTCCCACAATGTCACATCATCATTGCTTGCTGGAAGCATTGCATTATGGGATATGTAGTCCCGAGAAGCCGAGATTGCGTCACATCAGGCAGCTGGGAAAGAGATGCAAAGCACACTGGGAACCCAGGAAGTTGGTGAAAGTGATGGGCAGACAGAAGGCAGCACTCACTACATAAAAAGGGATTTTTTGTTTTAAAGTAAGCTTTGATTGCATTATCAGAAACACCTCTAGTGTGTATTCCTATTACAATGCTGATGTTATACCAGAAGAGGATATGCCGGGACTATACAACTCCTTTAATCCTTGCAGGACATTGAAAGGTGCCCCCATCCCATCCATCCCAGCTATCAGGACTGCACTGTGATCTTTGGTGCAGTTCTCACGTCTTCTGCTCCATGGCTGAATGCCTGAAATGTGTACCAGAGCTGCATTAGCCCCCCACCATGCCATAGGATGATGTAGTTAAGATTATTACGAGGGATGAACCATATATATCGGCCATGAAACATATCGGCCCAAAATGGCACTTTTGGCTAAAGGCAGGAAAAGTGAACAATCTAGGATGACATAGCTGAACTGGAAAGTGAGCCAGCGGGTTGGTTGTTCACTTCTCCTGCCTTCTCCAAACTCTTCACCCTTTTGTGAATAACTCTGATAGTGTTCAAGATGACAAGATTTCAGCACTCCGAGTTTTCAGGGGGTTTTGCAGCTCTGTGGACAAATTCATGGGGGGGGG